ATCTGACGTGATCCCTATTTTAATTTTAAGCTTGTTCAGATAGGCATACTTAAAATTAACTTGACAAACATTGTCGACGAGTAATTACTTACTAGACTAACCCGCCCGAGTGAGCCATGGGCTTTAGGGATTGTGTGTTAATCTTCATGAAAAAGTTAACATGACTAACTAGTAAATAAAATGGTTAATTCAGAAAATCATTGCATCAATAGGAAGTAGCTAGTTGGTCATATTTGTAAAAATGATCAAAGGAGCAGTTAGGTAAAAAAAAAAAAACGTCCAAATTAAACTATACAAATGTACACCTTGAATGGTAACATGTACTTAGAGTTCAATTTATTTCTTACTCGAAAAAACCAAATACAGTACGGCCCTGTTTGATGTGTAAAATTTTTCATGAAAGTTGGAAAATATTTTCCATTTTCCATCTTTTTGGCTGTTTGATAGCCAAAATTTTCTAGGCAATTGATTTTTCAGCTTCCCACCTATTTGGTGATTTTTGGTTTTCCAAATTTTTTTTTTTTTGGCAATGGAAATAAATTATATCCCTAATCGTAGTTTTTTTTTCCTTTGATGGACAATTTCTATGTAAAACAAAACCAAACGAAAATCAAAAGATCCAAAATTTCAATATTTTTCACGTGAAAAATTATACTAATCAAACACAATTAATTGACAATTTCAGGAAAATAATTTTAGACAATTTAATTACATGAAATTCATTTTCTTTTTACCCAAATTTCACTCTTACAATCAAACGGATCTACGGTCTATTCGTGAAAGAAAGTATTCAAACTTGATGTCATTTAGACAAGTGGTGGGAGGCAAGTGGAAGCCAGTGGTGTCAGGCTCCCACTTAAATCTGAAAAATAAATAAAAATTGTATGAATTGTTCTTTTTAATATTAGGCCTTATTTGGTACACATTATTTTTTTCATTCTCATTCTTCTACTCATTTGTAATCACACATTGTTTAATAAAATAATATTTTCCATCACATCAATAAGACAATAACTTTTCCTTCATTTTTAACCACACATTCTTCATCAATAATCTATTATTCAATAATACATTCTTTCAAAAGAATGTGTATCAAACACACTCTTATTATATCTTGTGTCTGTAAAAAAATAAAAAAAGATTCTGTAGTTAAATTATGTCCCCACTAATTTTTTTTTTACTCATGTGTCCAAGTTTCACCCGACTAATCCTGAGAAGTGGCGGCTTTCCCCCCTGGTTCGTCACCTGAATTAATCCGATGAGTTCACAGTTTATACACACTTGGGCTGGACATTTAGTGGTTCTCCTCCCTGTGGACCTCGCCTTCCAATATAGATGTTGCCTTCCAACATAAATGTTGCCTTCCACGATAAAGTTTAATCGACTCCCAAAATCTACTCAAAGTTGACCATTAGTCACCTTACAAACCATTTTTCCAATCGAAAAGACTTCCACTTAGCTTTTAAGCCTCCCTCTTTTCATTTCACTAGTGATAATAATTGCTTCAGATAGTACTTTAATCTATATTATGGAATCTTTTTATATCCCTGATTACTTAGCCTCTAAATCATCTTGGCCTTGCCCTACACAAAGTCCAGCATTTTAAAGACAGAAAGCGATATGGACGGTTACCAATTATTTAACAAATCTTTTGTCCATCTGCAGTCCTTCTCTCCTTTAAGTTCCAAAATTTACACTTCAAATTTCTATCACGAAACCCTATCTACTGTGAGAAAATTGCGTACTAACACAGGTGATCTCGGCTATCACTAACGATAAACATCATGTCTATGTACAGACGTTCGAGAAAATCCCAGTCGAGGAATGAAGAATTTCAAGAACAAGATTTGTGGGAAGTTGTGAATGAAAGAAAGGAGCCCAGTTTCACATCAAAACGCCAGCCAACAGCAGCCAGAATAATGATCCGGACAGACAATAAAAATCATAACATCGATGAACCTAGAACTGTTCAAAACTCAGCCCCTGTCAGCATTCCTGACTGGTCCAAAATTTATGGGGAAAGCTCAAAGAATGGCAATGGTGATGATTTTGTAAGAAGTAGTTGGGAAAGTGATGGAGATGAAGATGAGGATGATGATGGGAATCTGATACCACCACATGAATTTATTGCTAGAAAGCTTGCAAGGAAACAAATTTCTTCATTCTCAGTGTGTGAAGGTGCTGGAAGAACCCTCAAAGGGAGGGACCTAAGCACGGTAAGAAATGCTATTTTAACCAAAACTGGCTTTCTTGAATAAAATTGTATTTTATTGCTCGACTTCAAGGCACGAATAGTATTAAGAATAATTAAAATTTATCGATTGTATTATTTAGTCCCGTCCTCTCAAATGTGGCCTTGATGGGAATGCCTTAGTTTAATGCAGTTCCATGTATATTATTAATGAAATTCTATGTTCTAAATTGGTTTTGCTGAATTTAGTTCCATTTGAATGTAATTAAATGTAAATCATAATGATTTCTCCGTTTTTCGATGTCTGCTTCTTCTTCTTTCTTGTAAATATAGTTCAGCTTTGTTACATTTACATTTTGGTTGACATTCCACGTGATATTCTATTATGTGCTAATAAATCAATTTTGTCATTGATTTCTTCAACACTTATGGCCTCGTTTTGTACACATTGAGGGTGTGTTTGAACCACATTATTTTGAAAGATTGTATTTTGGAATAGTAAATTGATTGGGAATATGTGGTTGAAAAAGAAGGAAAAGTTATTGATGTGATGAAAATATTATTTTGTTGAAGAATGTGTTGTTGAAAATGAGTAGAATGAGAATGAAAATGAAAATGTGACTGAATATACAAGTAGGTCAATCCAATATAGTAATATTTTTGCTAACACAATGTCAGGTTAGAAAGATTTGATGAGGGTATTTTTCAATATTAAGATTTGACAACTTGTTTAGATTTCCGTAATATATTAAGTTGCTTGACATCTTGATCATAAAAATATTAATTTTTTCTAATCTTTTAATAAATGCAATTGGTTGATCATATATAGTAAAATGTAAATTTTACAAAAGACCCTTTTGAAAATGAATAACGAACAGTCATCAACTTATTTAATAAAGCATAAAATGTTAAATATATTTTATTATAAAGTATTTGTACGATCGTAAACTTTACTCTTCAATCGACGGATAGTGTTAACATAGACCCTAGATATCTATTAATTCCCCTCCGTATCCTTCTAGATAGACAAAGTAAAATATTGCACCTCTTAGTTGCTGGCAGACCTCTAGTTCGATTCATGAGGCTCTTGGAAGGCAGGGATTCTCCTGGTCCTAGAAGACAATGTGCAACATGTGTTGATTCGTTCGACACTTTGGCAGATCAGTGGAGGGGACTCTTGGACCCTGGCCAGTTTGGAGCACATCCTGCGGTTTACCTGATTCGCATCTTGATGGGCTAAGGTGTAGACCCCAGAATTAATTGTCGAAGGTGGGCACCTGAGTATATATAAAAAAAAAAGAACTAAAAAAGTAATTTTCCACTTTCGTCACAATTTTGAATTATGAAATATTGAATATAGAAAAGGACATTCCACCATCTTCATTTTTTAAAGAAAAAATGAGTTAATTATTTTATTCCGGTTCGTGAATTCTTCCAATTTTGACGGAAGAACAAACTAGAGAACAAATTTCCTTTCACTTTCGCCCCCTATTACTTTTGTCTGCATCTCACTCAGCAACTCAATTTGATTTCCAAACTGGCAATTATGGCATTAGACACTACATAATTAATTATACATAATACAATCAATTACACACCGCTATGTAACGTAGTTTCTTACCGATTTCATATTTTTGGATTAATACAACAAATTCTTTAAATTTTTTTTGAGAAAATTTAAAGAATAATGCTCTACAGCACATGCTAGTCTAGTTGTGTCAATGTGGCTCGTCGCTATGGAGGCTCGTGGCTCGATCCGAGCCCGACCCGAGCAAGTGTGGCTTGCCGGCCCGTGAGGAGCAAATTTCAAAAATCAAAAATCAATGTCTTTGGCAGCTACTGCCGCCTGTAGCCAACAATAACAGCGATGTTTGCTACCTTGTTTATTAAAAAAAAAAAATCACGAGTCGGCCTTGCTAGCTCGATAAGGTCCAACACAAAAGCGCGGGTCGAGCCTAGATTTTTTTGCTAAGCAAAAGCTCCGCTCAGCTTGGTTGGGGCCAAAGAAAGCTCAAATCATTTTTACTCGAGTCGAGTTCAAACTTCGAATTTTAGCTCGGTTCGTTGACATCTCTATGCTAGTCTAGGTCATAATAGATCCACATCCTACACTAGCTAAAATTTAAACAAAAAATATAGCTAATTGCTAATTGTACACCATAAAAAAATTAAATAATAGTAGAAAGTGATTTTTCTATAGGGAAGTTTACATAAATCCTGGTTTTACTTCTACACATTTCAAAATTAAGGTAAGATGTTTTAAATTTCAAAAATCAGGTTTTTATTTAAATT